CTTCACGACTGAGCCACCCAGGCGCCTTATTTACTGTTTCTTTAGATCGCAATGCTCTTATCCACTGCTCTTGACTGATAAAAATATTACCAATAAGATGCACAACTCATAAACTTACATGCTCCCTTGTAACAAAAACAACAACTGTTCTTTTCCCATGATGATTATATAATGTATCTTTTTGGGGGATCATCCTATGACTTCTGTTATTCTCTTAGGACACTGGATATGTTCTATGTTTTATATTAACTTCTTAGCTTAAATGAGTTATCTGCTTAATCTAGCTCTATCTCAAAAAGAAGCCTGAAAATGTTATTATGCTTTAAACTGAATAAATTAAACCCTGTAGGGTTTTTAATTATGCATTTTATTGAAAGCCAAGGATAAGTAACTTTGCTTATTACTGGAAAACTGATGTAAATACTTCAGGTATTATTAGAGTTCTACTCATAATAGTAGCATGTTTTCTTGCCTTTTTTTTTTTCTTGCCTTTTCTCTTAGCATTTTGGATGTCATTGACTTTTTTTTTCTAATAATGTTATTATCTTATTTTTCAGTCGTTAGTGGTATTTTTTATCAAGCATCAGTGTCAGGATGAAATTATTTTGCAGTCAAAGTATCATTTACTACTCATAAATCATGACTAAACAAATCTGCCTTCCAACTAGATTATTGATTTTATTTAAAAGTATACATTAAAGTAGTTGATGGATCTCTAAGACAAGGTTCATGCTTCACTAGATTGAATACAAATTGATGTTATGTATCCAGGATATAAGATAATAGTATCACACCTTGTTAGCTTGTATTAAAATGCTCCTGGACTGGGAGTTAGAAAATCTGAGACCATTTGTAAATATGGGCTCATCGAGATGGAAACTTTCTTGATTTTAGAATGCTGTAAAAAGGAGTCTTCTATCCTATTTGAATCAGTTCAAACATACTGGGCCTCCAAGGGGAAAATCATACTACTTTCTACCAATGTCATTTAATCTAGGATTTCAAATCTTTTTTTTTTTTTTTAAGATTTTATTTATTTATTTGACAGACAGAGATCACAAGCAGGCAGAGAGGCAGGCAGAGAGGCAGGCAGAGAGAGAGAGGGAAGCAAGCTCCCCGCTGAGCAGAGAGCGCAATGCGGGGCTCGATCCCAGGACCCTGAGACCATGACCTGAGCTGAAGGCAGAGGCTTAACCCACTGAGCCACCCAGGTGCCCCTAGGATTTCAAATCTTTTGATATTTGAGAAATATAGTTCTTGTTTTAAAAAAAAAAATTACTTCTGTTAGTACTACATGCCATGAATATATCTTGAAAAATGACACAAATTTAAATAATCTTTTTTGAGAATTTTTTAAAAGAAAGATATAATTTTACCCTAAAACAAGGGCTGGGAATCAATATTCTCTAGGCATAAAAAGTAAATTTTCACAGATATAATTTTACTAAAAATGATTATGCTGTTTTTTTCTTTATGCACACCTCTTTCCAAAAAGTATTTTGAAGTTACTTAATCATGTTGAAGCTGTACCTGCAAACTTAACTTGTGCTATGGGTATGTTTTTAAGGAAACTCCTTTTAATTTTTCCTTTGGGATAAATACAATTTTTCACATCCACTATGGATAGCATGTGTTTGTCCATTTATGTACCATATGACCTCCATATGCCAAACATATATTACATGTTGTGTCACTAAATGGCTGAGACTATGAAGTGAGACTCTGGCTAAAGGGTTTTCTCTTTGAAATAGTTCAGAGCAAGTCTTCCCAAAATGTGGCACTTTGTCACGTGGACTATTTTAAGAGAAGAGGCAAGAGTGACCCTGCAGATTCAAGAGAGAATTTTGCCCCTCCTTTAATTAACTGAGAAGAATCTAAGAGTCTTTCTCAGAATTGGAATTACTGTGAGAGATACACTGTATCTGAATGATCCATCTGTGCGGCAGAGCAAACATCTAGTTATCAACCACCTTTCTTTTCTTTTTTTTTTTTTAAGGTTTTATTTATTTATTTGACAGAGATCACGAGTAGGCAGAGAGGCAGGCAGAGAGAGGAGGAAGCAGGCTCCCCACTGTGCAGAGAGTCCGATGTGGGGCTCGATCCCAGGACCCTGAGATCATGACCTCAGCCGAAGGCAGAGGTTTTAACCCACTGAGCCACCCAGGCACCCCTCAACCATCTTTCTTATCACTATGTGAATTGCCCTCCTCCCCTATTGCATTCCTTAGCTCAGGATGGCATCTGTACCTCATTTTACCTCTCTCTACCTCTCTCATACCTTTCATGTATGTGCCATTCCCATGTATGTCCAAAATTAGTTTTGGTTCTCTCCTGCTAATATATCTTGTGTCAATTCAAATCTTAGACCAGCAAGAAGAATCTTTGAGGAGAAAAAATTTTCCTTCCCTACATCTTCTATCATACTTTTTATCTAAAGGAACTGTATTATGTGTATCTTTCCTAAAATGTATTTCCTTAGGAATTCTTAAGATATTTTCTTAGGAAACTTGGGACCACCTCTAGAGTCAGTCAAACCCCTATGTGGAACAATCCTTTATTTGTATGGTAAAATTTCAGGGATATTAGTACAGCTCTTCTATGATGCTTGAATTCCCAATAATAAGGAATCTTTCATTTTGCTTTATTAAGGTTTAGGTCTTGTTTTACAAATGTATTTTATAAGAGATCCTCTGAAATATGAAGTCATGCTGGGTTCCATTACATTTTATTTGTGTGTGTATTATTAGCCAATATTTATGCATGATTTTCTCTCCACAGAAGATAGATACGTTTCAGAAATTTCCTCAGGGCAAACTTTGAGAGAGGCTGTGTTTGGTAAACACATAGTCTCTGGCTCACTGGGGGATTATCATCATGGTGGGACAAGAAGGAATTGAGGATATTTCTCATACCTCACAATGTGATCTTATGAGGATTAAGAAAAGAAAATCCCATTAAGAAGAGATGGGAGGCCAGGATGGGGAGCTCCCATGCCTAGCAGACCCAATATGAAGAGATGAACCTTTCAGATGGACACAACTTTACTACAGCACATGAGGAAATATGTTTGTTCCCCATCTCCCCTCTGCCCCACAAAAGCCCACCCAATGAGAGACAGTCCCAACTCAGGGAATTAAAAACCACCATACTTAGAACGCCCCCTTCCAACTTCTCCCCTAACCTCTGTAAAAGAGCATATCCCTCCTTTGTTTTGCAGACTTGTCTATGATTTTGTTGGAGCTTGCTTGCCTCAGAATGTAATTTGTTGCTATTCCTGAATAAACCCATTTGTGCCAGTAAAATAGAAGGCAGTTTTATTTTTTTTTATTTTTTATTTTTTTTAAAGATTTTATTTATTTATTTGAGAGAGAGACAGTGAGAGAGAGCATGAGCAAGGAGAAGGTCAGAGAGGGAAGCAGACTCCCCGTGGAGCTGGGAGCCCGATGCGGGACTTGATCCCGGAACTCCAGGATCATGACCTGAGCCGAAGGCAGTCGTCCAACCAACTGAGCCACCCAGGCGTCCCGGCAGTTTTATTTTTAAGGTTAATCATCTAGACCTGTATTTGACTTAACAACCCGTTTCAACAGACATCTCAGAAATTTCCATACAGATGCATTCCCTAAATTAAACCAACTAGATTTCCTGATAAGGCCATTGGAAAAGAACTTCTCTCCTTAAGCCCAAGGATCATGTTCAAATGTTTACTGACACTCAAACACATTCACTAAATGAAACGCAAATAAAATTAACAAAAATACCCAATGTTTGCAAAGCTATGCTAAATAGTGACAGTCATCCACATATTTGAATACTCTATTTAAGCCAGAAGTGAAGTCTGTTTCATACCCATGAAAATTGCTATGGTGATAAATGTGAAACAATTCGAGTCCACTTTTGATTAAATTCCCCCTCTGAATCAATGCAATATTTTTAACTCACATGTTTTTGTGTTTACTTATAAGTTCTTTACTATATATATAATAAGTTTATATATATATATGTTTATATATATGTAGATATATATATATAAGTTATATATATATATAAGTTTACTATAAGTTCTTGATATCTTATTTTTCTTTCCCTTTTTTATTTTTTTTAAAGATTTTATTTATTTGACAGAGATCACAAGTAGGCAGAGAGGCAGGCAGAGAGAGAGGGGGAAGCAGGCTCCCTGCTGAGCAGAGAGCCCGATGCGGGACTCGATCCCAGGACCCTGAGATCATGACCTGAGCTGAAGGCAGAGGCTTAACCACTGAGCCACCCAGGTGCCCCCTCTTTCCTTTTTTTTTTTTTTTTTTTTTTTATTTTATGCATTTTTTTGTCAGAGAGAGAGAGAGAGCATGCACAAGCAGGGGAAGTGGCAGGCAGAGGGAGAAGCAGGCTCCCTGTGGAGTAAGGAGCCCTGATGTGGGACCTATTTTTTTTTTTTATTTGTCCTACTTTTAATGTCCTTAATGAGTTCTCTGTCACTTTTTAGTTCTGTTTATGTATCTTGTTTTTGTAGTTATTTTTAAGTAAAGATAACAGCTGGTTTGGAGAGTACTGGATCTTGTAAAATTTGCTATATTAGTATAATGTTAAAATTATGGATTTGGTAATTCAGCTTTATTAAGGGAAATACAATATTTTAACATATGACTTTTGAGTTGTTTTAGTTCTAACTATAAAATTCAAGATAAAGCTAGATATAATTTAAAAGTCTTTTCAACCAATTTTACGGTTTTGAGAATATACCAGGGAAACATTACAATATATGAGACATTCTAAACTTTTTTTTAAATATTTTATTTATTTATTTGACAGAGATCACAAGTAGGCAGGCAGAAAGAGAGAGGAAGGGAAGCAGGTTCCTTGCTGAGCAGAGAGCCCAATGTGGGGCTCGATCCCAGGACCCTGGAATCATGACCTGAGCTGAAGGCAGAGGATTTAACCCACTGAGCCACCCAGGCACCCTGAGACATTCTATACTCTTTTTTTTTTTTTTAAATTGTTTGACACTTTATTTTGCCTTTGTTGTACACAGCTGAAGCAGGAGCCTGGGGAGGGGAAGATGTGACTCCTGGAGTCCCATCTTGGTCTTGTTGTGGGAGGGCTAACCCATGTTCTGTCGGTTGCCATAGCCCCTAGGATGGGTGTCCTTCCAGTCATCCCACTCCCGAGCTCTGTGGAGAGCTTGTTCATCCTCCTCATCCTCCTCCTTTTGTTCCTGATCTTCCTGTTGCTGAGTACTTCTTTTGAGCTCTGCTGGTGGTGTCTTGGCTATGCCCTGATCTGGTAATGCTCCATATTTCCGATGCTGATCGTACCAGTCATTCACCGTCATAGATGCCAGACTTGGATAACCAGCTCCAAATACTTTGGCTTGGGCCACATTCCGTGTGAGAATGAAGGGTTTCATTGGAGGCCTGTCCTGACGAGCTGAATGAGAAGTTGATGCCTCTGGTGAGGAGTCTTTTTCTCTCAGGATCTTCATCTCCTGGTCAATGCTCTCAATCTCTTCTAAGCTGATACCAATCCACCTTCGAAGGTGAAGGAGGTCATACTCACGAACACGCTCATCATCTGCTTGACCAGTTTCCACAGCAGATTTCAGTGCAGACAACCTATGCTCCACTTCCTTCTTCTGCCTGTATCTCTCTATTTTAGCCTGTCTCTGAGATGCCATAGCAGCGAGGCTAGGATAGGCCATGGAGGAACTAGCAGTGCCATTATCAGTTGAGTTGTTCTTGGTTTTGGGCAGCTCAAACTCTGCCACATGATAGTACTGGCACTGAATTAAGTAGTTTAAAAAGTGTTCTCGAGCCCACTGCAAATGATCTAGACGCTTGCTGGGTTGACTTGTTTCATGGTGAGCGCTCCTTGAAATGCTGGCACCATCAGGTACTTCAGGTCGGTGGAAGCAATCTCTTCCAAATCTTCGTTTCGGCTGAAATAACATTTCGGAAGCCTTCTTAAGGAGGTCTAGTCCCTTGAACACCTTTTCCCGGATCACTCGCGAACCGGTGGGTTCAGTCGCTACTTCCACTTCGTCTAGAAGCTGCTTGCTGGTTTCGAACAGCTCGGGGAGCCGCGGCAGCAGCAGCTCGTCTTCGGCTGTTGCCATCTTGCGGGAGGGAGGAACGCCGACATTCTATACTCTTAAAGCTGCTTGGAATATCTCTTTTGCTCACTCTATTTGATGTACAAGAATTTAGTTCAGGTTTTGAACTTAAATATTCTGGAATTCTGAGAGAGATGGAATCGCTAATGAAAAGGCAGTGATTGCACAACCACTGTTTCACACATATACTTATACAGAATAATAGGAAGACAGAACAAAATAAAAACCAAAACCAACCAACCAACAGACCAACTAACAGCACTGTTCTTTGCTTACTGATGGCTGACCAGCTTTTTCTCCTACCCTGTCTTTTACATGAGCCACTTATCTCTATAGTATCCTTGGTGTTTCCTTGGTAACGTTCCTTTTGTGTGATACAATATACACAATGCTGATCTTTTCCCATAGCCTGTTTGGAGTATCAGTTATTATGACAGGAGAATTTTCCAGCAGTCCACACTCTGTTGTTTTGGGCCTAACATGATCCAGGATATAGGAAGATCCTAGACAAAAATCAGAGCAATTCACACTTTCCAGTCCAGAGTCACTTAACTTGAATCAGATAAAACATTTTCCTGCTTGCAGAATGTTCAAATCACTTATCTCTAAAAGGGAGTCAGAGATGGTGCTGACCTCTTCTCCATTGCTTTAGTATTCATGTGATTTCTTATATACAACTAAAGATAGGCATTTTTCAATAACAGTGGAGTCTTTATCAGATTTTACAGTAGACTACAGGATAATAACCTCTTCTCAAAATGTTATAAAAATGCCAGAATTGGGGGCGCCTGGGTGGCTCAGTGGGTTAAAGCCTCTGCCTTTGGCTCAGGTCATGATCTCAGGGTCCTGGGATGGAGTCCTGCAGCGGGCTCTCTGCTCAGCAGGGAGCCTGCTTCCCCCTCTCTCTGTGCCCGCCTCTCTGCCTACTTGTGATCTCTGTCTGTCAAATAAATAAATAAAATCTTTTTAAAAAATGCTAGAATTGTTTGTAACTGGATTGAGACTATATGAATGTTCTAAGAGTACCGCCTCCCACAAAGCCTGAAGTCATGGCCCCACTTAAGTCTGGAAAGTCAATAAGATACAGTAGAGTTGCTGTCAGGGAGAACATTAATGTAATGGCTAAAGATGAACAGAGAAGGGCACAGAAACCAATCATGACAATAGGGCTTGATAAATTTCATAATAAAATTATGAAATACTGTAGAAATCTAAAAAAATGGAGAAAGAACTATTTTTGGAACAGGATGGCTTCAGAAAACAACTGACAATTGAGATGGGAACCATCTACTCGGAATATTTTCATTATACCTAGACCAAGAGAGTTTATGGCTAAGCTCGAATCTGTTTTCCAACCTATAATAACAGTATTTTGTAGTTTGTGTATCTTTGAAAGCATATTTAATAACTTCTTATAGAATTGGGAAGTTAAGTTTGTCCTCAGAGCACAAAGGCCAGAACATTGCCTCCCTCCACCCTCCTCCTGTGCTGCATTCACAGAGTAACTAATGGGGGAGAGGGCGGTGCTGAGTGGTTTCTGCAGTTTGGGGCCAGAAACATACTAGAGGTAGGTTTTTATTAGCAGACTACTGTCAAGAGACCTAGGACTTACTGCTAAGAAGTGACTGATTTTGATATAAAGAACCATACATAGAGGAAGGCCCCTAGATATACGGCTACCAGATCTCTCCCTGCCATATTTTATCTTTTGCCTCAGCTTCAACTCTAGAATGCTTTCTCTATTATTAATCTCTTCTCTTGGCAATGCTACCTTTTTTAAACACACTTGGCAATGTTTATGTTTACCAGGTGTCTTTGTTTCTCTTCCAGACAATGCATGTATACAACAAATAGCCTAGAGAAATCGACAGTCTACATTAATTAACCAACTGGTAGGGCCTTGGGAAGCCAAGTAAGAAGACTTCACAATAGAGTGACATAAAAATAAAGAGCTGTTTTCCTTCTAAGGAAATAGGAAGTCTTGGAAGAAGCATAAACTCAAACAGAGATGGGTATGACTTCTGTCAACTGGGTGACCACAGATATGTTATTTAATCTCTTTGAATCTCAACGGTCTTATCTAAAAACGGAGATAACATAGCTTACTTTTAAAATTACTGTGAACATTACAGAGAATATCTGCAAGTCACTAAATGTAGTACCTATTTCCTAATAGGTATTCTATAGTATATTAAGTAGTGATGAATGTTCTGCAAATGCTAGGATTGCTTGTAACAAGCTTCAAGCATTCATTGAAGGTATAGATTCTATAATTCCAGGCCCATGTAAGCCCCCTTCCAGTGAGACACAAACAGTATAATGGAAATGATAATCAGTTTGAAATTAGAACACAGGTTCTGACTTAAACAATATTTACCTAGTTCCATAAAAATACTTAAACTCTTAGACTCTAAGTGTTCCTCATATGAAACCAATACTAATAAACCTTAGTAACACTGTAAATATCAAAGAGGTATTTGTAACACAGTATACACTGTGAAGTGCAAGAAAGATATAATGTAACATCTAAATTTATATGAATCATAAAGCATGACTGTTGGCTAAGGAGATATATATAATCTACTAAATTCTTGTAATAGCCTCTTATTGTGATCTACTGCTGCTTGTAATCATGGGAAATAAAAGAATGTGTACTCCTGCTAAATGCTATATAAAAACAAATTTCAAGTGATCAAATCTAAAAAAATGAAATACAAACACATAAATATATGATTCTAAGACACATTCTTTTCCAAAACACTCTTTTCATAATATGGCATTATTGTGGCCTTTTGTGTTGAAATGGCATTTTCTCAACCTTGGAAATTACTATGAGTAATATGCAAATAAAGCCCCCAATAAACCTTTTCTCCAGTATATGCAACAGGGTCTTCAGGATCTTTTCACATTAAGGAAAAATTTATTAAACCCGGTCTAATGGGAAATACTGATGGAACTATGTTGTAAAAGTTACCGGAAACTAAATCTCCTTTTTAAAGATTGAGTGGTAAGAATCTACTTGCGCTGGTCTAGAGGCAAAAATACAAATCACTCCAAAGTAAAACTGTTAAAGTAAAATTGAAGGCTTAATTTCGAATTATTCCAAAGGAGAGTTTGTTTTAATATTCATAATGTGGTTTGATATTTGTATTTAAATATTTTATTTACTTTTATTTTTAAAGATTTTATTTATTGGAGAATGAGAGAGACAGAGATAGAGAGAGAGTGCATGAATCTGGAGGAGAGGAAGAAAAAGGAGGCTCTCCACTGAACAAGGAGCCCAATCCTGGGATTCGATCCCAAGACCCTGGAATCATGACCTGAGCTGAAGGCAGATGGTTAACTGACTGAGCCACCCAGGCCCCTAAATACTTGTTTTATAGTCAATATTTTAATAAGATCACATTTCTTTTTTCCTATAGAATTTTTTAATCTGATATTCTGTTTATAAACTTCTCCCCCACGTATCTTAATTTTTTAGAACTGCAGTCTTGGAAATAAAGTGGTTGATAGTAATTCGTGTAATCTCTTCTTCCTAACTGTATTTTCTTCCCTCTTTCCTCCCTTCTCCTTGGGCAACATTTCCATCTTTAGCCTTCCTTTCCTATCCTCTCAGCCACATTCTTATCTATTCCCCCCTGTTCTAAACCATTGCTTGTAGTTTAGACATACAAGTGTTTCAAATTAAGTTCTTGATTATTTTCTTCTCTCTATTTTACAGCATTACTCCTTTTTTGCTTGCCTTGAATCCCAAGACTGCTACCCTATAATCTGCCTCTGTTAGTGGTGCTTCCTTCCCCAGGCAGACCTTCTTAAAGGAGAAGATGGTTGGCATGTGTCATAACAGGTATGCCCTGGACAGACAAAGGAGATGCCATAGGTGGCCATATCTCCATGTCGCTGGGGGTTGGGAGGAGATTTCTAAGGAAAAAGCAAAGAAAGAAAAGGAGAGGTAAATTTAGTGAAGTGGAAGAAGTTACTCAGTTTTCAAAGTCACCAGTGTAGTAGAGGATATTCTTAGGTAAACTCTCTTTTTGTTTGTTTGTTTGTTTGTTTTACACATTTTATTTTGTTACTAGTAGCCAATTAATAATGGCTGTAAAACTACTGTTTATGTTTATGCCCACTAGGAACTTTATGATAATTCCGTTGTATGGGTCATTTGTCTTAGCTCTTTAAATGAAACAAAATCTAGTTCTCTAATGGAAACAAAACTTTCTTACTATTTAAAATGATTTTGGAGTCAGTGTAAAATTCTACTCAAATGCATAAAATAAAAAAAATATATATGTGTGTGTGTTTATCGTAAAAAATGAAAATCACCCATAACATCCAATATATTCCCCAGAAATAACCACTTTAAACAGTTTAAAGTGCACCTCAAAACCAATATTAACCTAAAATCTTAAAAATCCATGTACACATCTTAAGAACATTAACTTGTTATGAAAACAGATGAATACCACCCTAATGAGAACAAAGAAAGGCTATTTACTCAGAACTTGCTCTAGCTAGGGAGTCAGCCTCTATCACTTACATTTGGCAGATACCTAAAGGCAGTCAGGGGAGTGAAGCTTTCCAATGAAAAATAAAAAAAAACTTTAGGTAAGTTCCGATCGGGGGTTGTCAAATAGGGGAGCAGGTAGACTAACTAGGAGTGGGGCATTTTATGTGATTAGCTTGAAAATTGTATTTGGCTCTCTCAAGTTGATCCTGCATTGGAGACAGGCGAGGGAGGGAAACTGGCATTCTTTGACTAAGTCAATCATTTTGTTATTATTATTATTTTATTTATTTATTTGACAGAGAAAGAGAGTAGTGCATACAAGCAGAGGGAGAAGCAGAGGGAGAGAAAGAACCAGGCTCCTTGCCAACCAGTGAGCATGAAGCAGGGCTCCATCCCAGGACCCTGGGATCATGACCTGAGCCAAAGGTAGATGCTTAATGACTGAGCCACCCAGACGTCCCTATGTCAATCATTTTAAAATGAACTTCTACATAGCGTTGTCTGACTTTT